ATCTATCTTATAATTAGAGATAAATAATCTTAATTTTAAAAATAGTTACAATATTTTGTAATTTTTATCATAATTGAATAAACTCTTTTAATCAAATATATTGAGTAGTTGGAGTTTAAGGAGCGAAATATCATTCCCTAAGTTGCATCTAGAAAAATAGTTTTTTTGACGACAGGTAAGTTAGTATGTGAAAATCAAAATATCCTGTAAATATCTTTGTATATATACAATAAAGACATGCCATGTTAACCTGACTGCGGGTTAAAAAAAAAAAAAAAAATATTGAATAGTTGGAGTAATGTCTTATATTCCTTTATATCAAATATATATAACTTATAATAGATTCCAGGTTCTTATAAAACTAAAAAAAATGTATTTAGATATATGAGGCAACTATTAGAAGCTTGTTTATATTCTTTTACTGATGTATTTATTGTTGTTCAATAATAGCTTGAGAAACTTTGTATTACTCAAAATTTAAAATTAAATTGAGACAGACAAAAATTTTTAGAAAAAATTAAGAAAGAGTACTATTAGAGCTATTACAAGAATAAGAGAATAGAAGTTTTGTTTCTTATCTTTAAACAAGACTCTGTGATATTTTTCTAACAAGTAAGTAGTTAGCAATACTTCTATTTTTTTTTTTTTTAGAATTTTTTTGCTATTAATAGAAAAGATACTTTATAACTTTTAGATTTCTAGTAATTAAGTTTTTGTTAAAAACAATATAAGCAAGAAAGAAAAGAAGTGAAGGTGATTTTTGAAGTTCTTTTCAGATTGGTTTAAGAAAAATAATAAGATTTTATTAATATGAAGTATAAAAATTTTTTATGAATATCTTTTTTATATATAGTTAGAGAATTAGTAAAAAAAGTAATTATAAAAAATATATAAATATAATAATCTATTTATAATAAAAAAAAAATCATGGCTATCAATACTCTTTTTACTGATCCTTTGATCATACACAAAAAAGATGTTCACAAAAAGTTTTAATACTTCTATGTTAATAAAGTCTTGCTACTTTCTTTAAATCATCTCAGAGGTTTTCCTTTAAACTCCCTCACCCCTCCTCTCTCTTGTTTACAATCTTCTTGGACAAACTGAACTCTTGTGGCCTACAAAGTTCAATCCTTATCTTTACTACCCATGGCAAGAAAGTTCTTAAAGGGAGAAGGATCAACCGTGAAATACCCTTTATCTCTCAATTATGGTGAAGATAACAGAGGTGTTGTGCCAGGCAAAGAACTCATCTTTTATCCTTTGACTGGTCTGTCTATCTCTTATAGTTATCTTTTTCACAGCTTTTTGGGAAATTTTGCCTACCCCAGTTTGATCCTGAAATTTTAGGTAGCATAGATCTTGCCAATTCTGATTGGTCAATGCAAAACACATTGAACAAGATTGATAAACAAGTTCCCATTGGCCATCTCACGTGTCTGAATGCATTTCCTTAGCTCCATAAGAACCTGGAGTCCATTATAAGTCATTGCCCAGTTCGCGGGTAGATACAGAACATGCTCTCTCTTATATTAGCAGTAATTCAAATGAAAGAGTTCATCCAACCATAGTAAAGGTTACAAGACGTTCCAATTATTTTTGAAATTGGAGTCACTTACTCTTGATAGTCAAGTAGGTTTTTACAACCCAGGTAGATAGGTGAAGATTTGCTTTTTTTTAAAATAAAAACAAACAAGGTGGATAGGAATTTTTCCCTGATCAGCGGGTTTTTTACTTCTAATCCATGATTTGTGGAAGGACCACAAACTGAAGAACCACACCATAAACTTCTTCACGACTACCCCTCAAGCATGGTCTTCTATGACTGCTAGTGGTACCCACCAATCTTATTCCTAGTGAAAGTACTCGAATAAAAACTTTCGCCAAATTGATAGACTTCCTAAAAACTTAACCCGACTTTGAAAGATTTGTGCCTTTTTAAATAAGCAGTATATGCTTGAAGCTGATATTATCTTTAGGATCAGGTCAACAATTCCTCCATAGGTTTCAAGGTATCCTCCTAGCCATAGGTCCTGCCAGGTTCTTTAAATAAGTAATCCCCTAGGTAGAGTATAGGGCTTTGAAACCATTCCCCCACCTTTTATCCAAGTAAGACAATTACACACACTCTCTCTTTCAAAGATCAGGACACAGTATCCTGATAGATAATTCGTATGTGTTCGACAGTTTCACAGTGGAAGCTTCAGTGTATGGTTGGTAGTAGAGAAAATTTAGGTCGTTGCCCAGCAGCCCTTTGGTAATTTTTTTTTTAGTTACCTTTCCTTAATAACAACTATAAGGAATATAATCACTAATTCAGCCCAGGTAAGTTAGTTCCTTATATGGAAGGCAATAGATCACGGAGGTCCTCACAGGAGATCTGAATTGGGAGAAATCTTTGCATACAATTTTTAAAATACATATTAGTATTGTTTCTAATTTGTAGTTAGTTTTAAAGTAGATAATACATATGTAATATCATATTTAAAGTTAATAAAAGTTACCCGAAGTACTATATATTTATTAATTATTAAAAAAACTGATAAAAATACATAGGATAATTGTATCATGGTTAAACTAAATTATATATTAACTTACCTATCAACAACTTTCGATTCTTAAAAGAATTTCAGTCTCTAAGTATAATTTTAAAAACAATATTTTACTTAATAAGCAATTTTGGATAAAGATTCTTTTAATTTAAACATTATTGCTAATAAATTATTATTGTTTATTATTTTTTAAGAAACTGATTTCAAGAAATTATAATATAAAAAAAGAAAGATAAAAAAAAGAAAATATCTAAAAATATATAAATATATTATATAAAAAATAAATAAATAAAAATAAAAGCACTTTATATTCTTCAAAAAAATTTTACAAAAAATTCTCTTTTATTAAGAATCAACTTTTCTAGGATATTCTTCTTCTTCTTAACTATTTGAAAAACTTATTTATTTATGATTTTGATTATTTTCTTGTAATTGTTTGAAATACTTATCACTTATTCAGATTCAATATTTTATTTGACACTTTTTTTTTTATATTTACTTGCATAGAATAATAGTTTATAATGGATCCCAGATTCTTATATAGCCTTTTAATTTTATTATATAATTTTTTATATTTTTAACAGTTACATTTAATTAAAATAATTTTATTGATAATTATTTTTTATCATTCAAAAAGTCAAATTTATTAATAATCTTTTTGTCTTATAATGGTAAAAAAATATTAAATAATCGTAGGAATTTTTATTGATTATAATGTCATTATATAATATCTTAAAAAATATATTCTTAATTTTAAAGAAAAATAGTAATTTATATTTTTTGATTTTTTGATTTTATTGCCTAACTGAGATAAGAAATTAATTTTTTTCATGCACTTTACTTAATTGAAATAATAAAAAGTTAAAGGTTTCAATTTGAATAAATAATTATTTTTTATTACTTAAGAAATAAGTCTTAGTTTTAATAAATAATTATCTTTTTATTACTTAGAAAATTGGATTGACTTAAAAAAATAATTATTTTTTTATTATTTAGGGAATTTAGTACCTGTTTTAATAGTCTCATAGTTTTTTTATTTTAGTTATATATTATTTGTAAAAGTGAAAGAATTTGTATCAATTACATTTCTTTATATTATTAATAATATCATTATAATATATAAATATGATCAATAAAATTTATTTATATCTTGTTACTAATATATTTTATATTAATTAGTCAGATATTAGATAATATTATGCTATTAATAATTTATGTAATAAACTAGAAAAGTATTCATTTAAAAATTATTACAAAGTAAAAAATTATTTTCAAGATTAAACTTAAAAGTTGTTATTGTTTATGACAAGTTTGTTAGATTTAATAACTATAGTATATGTATGCTGCTTGAGTGAAAATATACTTATGTTTTCAATTGATTAGTAAATTATGATCTAACTTGGCTATGGATATTACAAAAAAAAAAATAATAATAATAAATAAATTAAAAATAAGATCTTTAAATATATAATAAATTAAAATCAATATTTTTTTAATAATATTTATATAATTTCCAGATTCATGTCGTTAGTTTGTTCACGAAACTATTCTTTTTTTTAATAAAATTGATTTTAAATAATATATTAATTCAAACAATATATTCAATTAAATGGAATATAAAATAAAAATTAAGAATAAATTTGTTTTCACTTATCGATATTATACTATAAATAATTTATATTACGAAATAGAATTTTTTTTTTCTCAATTTTGAATTAAATAATAGTAATACCAATAATAATATACAATCAAATATGAAAAACAATTCAAGTTATGCAAAAATTTAAGCAAACTTTAAACCTTTTGACTTGCATTTCGATTTAATTTAGCCAATTTTGTACAACTATCATGATCTATCATCTTTTGTAAGACATAATAACGATTTATGATTTAATGCTGCACTAATGAATGACATTACAGTTATTTCTCGAACCAGTTTTTTTTTTTAGTTTCGACACGGGAATGTTACGTAAGCGGCCACTCTTGTAATATAATGGATAAATGTTTTAAAAGTTTATTTATTTGACCCGAGTGAAATATTGCATAGTGGATTTGGATTCGAAGCAACGGGGGGGGGAAACGAATTTGCGGATCTCGGAATTGGCTCCGCGCAGCCCAAAAATCTTCGAGTGCGCATACAAGTAAACATGAACAAATCAGATTCCAATTGTTTCTCTTTCACCCAAAATTGTTGCAGTAGAATTGAGGTTTGACAATAGTTCTTTTAAACCAAAATTGGTAAATGAAGTTTGCACTAACAAATAGAGATGATCTATTGTGTACATAACCCATTGAAAAATGATATTAAGGGGCCTCTAGGGATTCAACATCGCGTCACTTCTGTAATGTCGCACGTGCATTAATAGATAAAATTTTTCCGCACATAAAAATCAGTTCACTTCCGGATTGATACTTCAATTTTCCGTTTCTTCGTGCAAGCAATCGATAATGGGTAGTTTTAATTCGAAAAGTTCAGAGAAAACTGAAATGAAGAAAGTGTATCCATCATCAAGGAGACACACTCCTCTACGATTGATCTCAAGTAAAAATGAGAATTCTCCGGAAAAAGCAAAGGATGAGAGTAACGCGAAGATTCCTTATTCTGATGCAAAAGAAGATGACGACATCGACAAGGCTCACCTCATGCACTTCTATTATCGATTTGTTTGGAACGGTAATTTTTCAAGTCCGACGATCATGGAAACTCTCCAAACTGGTGCAAGTGTTTTAGATGTCGGGTATGTTTAAATCGTTGTTGCATTTCCTAAAACCACGGTCGTTCGTAAAAAGAGCTCACCGAAAGTCCCATATTTAGATGTGGTCCCGGAAGCTTTCTATTAGACCTGGCATCCTCACACGCAAAAAGTGCATTCGTCGGTATAGACCAAAATCCTGTATTTCCAACCTATATAAAACCGCCTAATGTGTCTTTTTATAAGCACAATATTTTGGAAGGCCTTCCGTTCGCCATGGAAACGTTCGACTTCGTTTATCTACGTTTCATGAAAAATTATTTCAATGAGGAAGAATGGAGATCCAATGTCTTGCCCGAAATTCTACGCGTGCTCAAACCAGGAGGTTGGGTTGAGGTAAGTATGGCGACAATGATGCCTTGACCAGCGCGAATTTGTTCCTCACGTGATTTGACGGTCAATTCGTAGTTTATGGAAATCGATGAGAAGATATACAATGTCGGCCCAATCACCTCGAATTTCGTGTACACATGTAAGTACACAAGCACTTTCATGTGACCAGAAACCAATACTCATTTATTTGACTCGTTAGGGCTCTATAAGTGTGATCAAAATGATTTCATAGATATTTTCAAATATCAAGATATCCTACAATCTTTTCAACGACAGCTGACGATAATAACGGTGGAGGTGAAAACCAATGCTTGGTATCCGATTTCACCACCAGAACTCCGGACCACCGTTGATATTGGTGAGTAGAATTTCATTTTTATAAAAAAAATAAAGTAGAATAAAATAAAATAAATAAACAAACATTTCTCAACCTCACGATCTTATGTAGTGCCGGAACTGTTGAGGTTCGCCAAAAGACAGGTGTTATGTAAAATGGAAATTGATGATGACGAATACGAGGCATTGACCAATAAGATAGCGGCTGAGGTTGCGGAGCATAAATCTTACAGTAAAACTTATCGTTTCTGCGCCCAAAAGAATATATAATCTACTTAGTTTACTTGAATCCAAGTTTAATAATACACACGCTTTATTGCATAATGTATAGTAACTACTATCTGCCAATTACTTTTATTGTCTAATTATTCATTTTTGACCACATCTTAATTTTACTTACTTACTGTATATGTAACAAACATCCCGGTTGACAAACCACCACGCTTTCATCTTTGAGAATATTGGTAATTCTTGATTCCCCTTCACCATTTTCTTTTGGAATCCCTTCGAACATACATTCCCAAAAGAACATTTGTACCCGATCTTTTGTTACATAAAAAAAGTTCATTTTTGTGATCTGTAAACATTTGCCCATATGGCAGTAGTAATGTAATGTGTACGTATTAGGTTTGACTCGATTTCTACGGGTAAACCATTCATTCTCATTTTACTGTACATGCACCGACGCAAGTGAGACAATGCATGGTTTCACATTTTTTTTGTTGCACTTTCGATATACCGAATTTCACTTCCAGAATGGATCATCACTTTTTTCAATGACATATTCATTGACGTTTGAGACTTCTTTCAGGCAGTCAACGCCATCTGTTCAAGCTTGCTAGCACGATTGACCTCATTGACGCAATGACTTAAAAAAAAAAAAAATGACGAATACGATTATTCAATGACGCGATGACTTTAAAGATTTCGACAAATCAACTTATGTGAAAATGAATTACATTGAACTCAAATGTCATCGCAGTCATACGCAATGTCATATTGATGTCATACAATTTTTCTTATTCCTTTTTTTTTTTTTTTTTTTTTGACATAAATTCACGGTTAATCCACCAATTTGTTATTTTTAAAGCTCTCCGTTCAATGTGAGTGCCGTCTCAACTTTCTGCTGTATATGATCAATATTGCTTCCTTGACATTTTTCTTTGATGCGACACGCCGCACCTGATCAGAAAGCTCTTACACTCACGCCATGTCTTTTGTAATTCGTGGTTACGACAATTTGGACTCGATTGCTGTTGATCCCGTCGATCCTTTCTCCGGCGATCCAATATTTGACGAAGCCTTGGAGTTGTTGGAATTATTTAGACGGAATAATGGTTCTTCTTACAATAATTGGAAAACACCCGTGAAAAATGCTTCCAATCTTGAGCTAACCGAAAATCCGTATACTTCAAATGTTGCCGTCAATGATGCGAACAACGAAATTGTTATTCACCGTAAAGATTTTGTTTTTCTGTCCATAATGGCAATATTGTTCCGTGCTGTTGTATTAATGCGAATCTTTTTCATCCCTTTGTAGCCAAATGGCCTAGTATCTCGAAGGAAACCATTAATAACGGCGGCGAAAATAAAAAAGATGGCAAGTATGGTGCTGCCACCGAGCACATTCGCGAAAGCCATTATGGTCATTACTTGGTAAACTTCTAGGATTTTTTAACTTGTCGCGCCTCCTTTGTTACCCGTGAACGCGCTTTCACCCATTTACCGTAAAAATTTTCGACAAAGCGTTCCGCTCAACCTTCTCCTGAAGTTGGTCCCAAAAAAGCCCAATAGGATTGACGAAAATGGTATTTCATACGTAAGTTTGGGTAATCGCTTTTCGCCTATCTGCATCAATTCGTATTACAGGTTTCTCGACCTGATGAGCAATCGCTCATCGATGAATTTACTTTGCCTTTTTACCATAATGTAATTAATTTGCAATGCGAGTAATCGAGTAGACGTGAAGTTACGTTAAAAGAGTCAGGAATTCAAATGGGAAACAACTTTGAACATTATTATGCAATTTTAATGGAGGGAATTTACTGTTAATAATTGATAGACCGATTACTGTAAATAATCTACAATTAAAAAAATTTTTTTTTATATCACACGTTGAACAGCCAATAAGACGAATTTTGATCGATTAATGTGGATCTCGTGTCTAGCATATAGTTTCGTGCCCGTCTAGTACGTATATATATACCGCGACTCTTTATGATTCTCGTGTCCTCCATACCCCGAATAGTCTGGGGTCGCCAGTTGTTCAGCAAAAAATCGGCAGCCCCTTTTCTTACCTCAAAATTTTTGACGTGCATAAATCTGCGAGCGCTGACAACTAATTATCAGAATTATGCTATTCCCTCGAAACCTTCTTCCCAAAGAAACACCAAGAAAAAGTCCTCCCTCCCAAAGAAAAGAGGAATGGTGGAAGGGGAACCCGAGAAGTTGGATGCGACAGATAAAGTTTCGAAGATTTTGCTCGAGGAACTATGGACTCACAAAACTCTTGCGGGAGAGCTGTCGTTAAAACCTCCGAATCCTGTTGGATGCTGGCAGGACATTGAGGAATACAAACCCGAAGTGAAAACGTTAGACATCGAGGAATATAAAAATCTACATTCTCGAGTAAGCCGGGGTTTTTTAGCGGGGCAAGTTCGAGAATTCTTGAAAAATCATGGTCAACCCTCAAATCGTAGCAAGGATGCAATGGTCGATGACATAATTCAGAAAGTTTGGGAGGTACCCAAACCAACAGAGATATTCCAAGAAAGTGGGTTTGGGGACAATTGTTGTGGTTAAAGTTTAAAATTGAATTGGTCACAATATTCATCAGGCGATTTCCCATAGATGTGCGTTCTAAGCCGATAGACATCTTCTTCATCGTTGGACCGGGTTCGTTTTAATCGCCGCTCCGTGTGAATTTCGATAGTCCATTTCTTGTGCTTATTTTTTTTTTGTTTGTTTTTGGATTACGTTCTAGATGGCGAATCCTTGCGATGGCTGGAATCGGAAAGCAACGTAAAGATTCACGTGGATCTCAGCGCCGTTTCGTACACAATTTCAGGGACCAAACGAGACATCAGTAAAGCCAAAGAAATGATAACGAAATTAACGGTATTTGTCATTGGATGGTGCAGCCTTTTTCGTTACCATAAGAAAAAAAAATAATGATTATTTGTTATCTGTGCGTTAAAGACATACACCACCATGACTGTAGAACTCCCTTTGCATATCGGGGGTGGAGGCGATAATAAAAGTTTGAAAGAGTTGATGCCCTACGTGCAAGATATTTGTAGGGCGTCTGGAGCATTCATCGAGCTTGAAGATAGTAGCAATAGGGTTGGTGGTTGACATTGGTTTTTTTTTTTAAAAAAAATGATGAAAGATGACCCAAAGAGTCTAATTATTATTATCCATTGTTTACTTTTTAATTGTGCTCTCTGAAGATAACCATCTCGGCTCAAATCGAAAATAATATTAAGGAGGCGAAAAGACTGTTGAGCATCGCATGGATGCGAGTAAGTGTTTTCCTGATCGACGGCGTGTCGTTTCGGAACCACTGATATTAAAATTTTGGCATAATTCTTACACAGCCCGATCAAAATGAAAATCAATTAATTTTATGTAGCAACAAGCGGGAAACCTCAAAGTATTGTTTTTTACCGGTTCACGATGTGATAGCACTATCCATGTTTCATCGGAACATGTATTGGCACCGACTCGCGGAGGTTTCGAAATCGGTATGACGCTTTTCCAATTGAACGATGGATGTTTTTGTGAGACAACGTTTCCTCCCCCCCCCCCCCGGACCATCCTCTAACCCTCTGACCCATAGCCTTGTGTTTGATAGGACGAGGAACCTAGTGTGCACGATAAATTATGCACATTGCATGAAAGTCAAAGGTATCGGAAACTGTGTCGTTGTTGGACGCGTTTCGAATGGTGTTGTATCGTTTCTCTAATGTTTCCGATGAATATTTAGTGTCACAAAGGACCCAATGTCGTGGTCTCTCTATACCAAGGCGGTGACGAGTGAAATGGATTTCAATAAACTAGGGCATTTCTTGGAAACATATTTGAACTCGAGAACTCCTAATTCCCAACTCGAAATTGATTCGACGTGAGTGCACTTAAACTAGTTGATTGTCCATCCGTCATTGGGCTTTTTTTAACACACATGTCTATTTCGGTTATAGTTTTGGGCACAATATTTTTCACGGCAAGGAAAAATCAATCCAAAATATATTTCTACCGCCATTGGAGGGCAGTTATTCACGCGAATTTATAGGAAAGTGGTATCAAACGGTAAATCCAACGAAACTATTTCTTCCAAGGTAAACAAACGCTGAAGGCTAACCGAGCATCGCTCTATTTTCACCTTCTAACCATTCTTTTTTTTTTTTTCTTTCAGCTACCCACAACCAAAATTATTAGAATCATTGGATCAACTCTCAAGGTCGCAGACAACGGTTCAATTGAACTATCTGCCGCACCACCTTCATCCCCCTCATCCGATCAACCAGACCTCCAATCGATTGTGCTTCCAGTTTGACGTGGTCAACAACAACCTGAGACTGAAGGATTTTCTGATATTCAGACGACGTCTCTTGATTGACATCTTGATGTTGAATCTGTGAGTGCATAATGCTAACAATTATTGTAATCATTTTTCGATTGGATAATAATTAATGTTTCTTTTTTAACAACTGGCGAACATTAAAAGCCCAAAGGATATTCGACTGCTGTCTTCTATCAAGGAGTCTTTGCTTGGCAGTCACGACGTCACGCATTTCGTCGATCAATGTAAACTTTACAAGTACGTATGTCAGGTTGGGTTATGTGTTATCGAATAGGATCTTATCGCGTGGAATTGGCTTCATTTCACTTTATATTGAATGATAATCAGTTCTCGAGATATTCAATGTCCAAAAGAATATGTGCTCGAGCGTAAATGTGATGGTGAGTCGACAATCTCTATCCCATACACTTTGGAAAGTGCCAGAGTATACAAGAATGGCTATTACGATTATAACGGGTTCGTACTGGTCGTGAAAAAAGTGATAGAACAGAATGCAAATCTTGTGAGACCGGAAGTTTCTGTAAGCACATTTTGTCATGTGATTTATTGATTCCGAAGATGGATTGATTAAGAAATGAATATTTTCAGTTGTTATATGAACCTTCTGTAAATCGGCAACCCTCATTGGCAGTGTCTAAAGACTTCGAGCACTGGGAAAATTTCATTTTTTCGGCGATCGGGATCGCGAGTTCTTATCCGTGATTGATGAGATGACTAATCACTCGACATTGATTGAATCATCAACTCGATTGCCTATCCAAGCGCCGAATCTTCTCTCCCTGGGATCGTACATGGTCGCCGACTTTTATATGATGTTCATTCATTGTAGGACTTGATATAATATAATATGTACCATTTTTTAACGCGTACCCGTTGAATAATGTTCAGATCATTTTCTTCTTCTGAGATGTTCATCTCATCCTTAAACTTTGCATTACAAATTTGTAATGAATTACATAAGTGGAAATCGAAAAATTCCTAATGAACTATCTTTTTTTTTTTCTGATTTATTATATGTACAAATTGACACCAATTTGTCTTCCCACATCATCTTTAATTTTTAAAATCGTTTCTTTTGTACACCGGGACCCTCGCTACCAAAACAACATACAAGTAATGATATAATGCTTCCAATCAGATGTCCTATATAACCTCCAATCACGCAAGAAATTGGCCATACCTAAAAAACAGAAGCTCGCAAAAAAAAGAAAGAAAAAAAAAAGAAGCAAATTAATAATAGATTGACATTTCCGACTAACCTGCCATGGTCTGTCCCAATCCAATGGTATGACTGTCGCCCCCAACCATGCTCCGACAACTGTCGCTACCGTCGTGCAATATATCATTTTCTCCGGTATACTTTCTGGACTTTTTTTAGAAATCCAAAAGGGACATTTTAACACAGATCAGATGGAACGGACACGAAAAAAAAAAAAAAGCATAAATAAAATGGATAACTACTTGTTATCCGAGAATACTCTCGACCAATAAGGCCCATGATTCTTAAAGGCCACGGCAGGCGGAAATATGGCAAGTAGTGACATGTATAGTGAAAATAGCCATGTATTTTGTACATTACTGTTCAGGCAAAACCAACATTAGCACAGTTGTCACAGGATATAACTAATTCAAGAGGCGGCTACCGAAATTTCTAAGAAGGATATGAAGGAACGCTCACAATAGGAGAGGCGCGCCAAAAAGGATCGCGATAATGTGAAACATGAAGGCTCCGAATAAAGTTATCCATATCGCGTGACCGAAATTCTTTAAAGAAGATAATTAGTTGATAAGTTTCTGAAGATATCAGGCGTGCACTTCCCGACCTTTCATACCACACCCTTGTACTTTATCAAATTCCGGACCATAACCCTCATATTTCTAGCGGTTTCAACTCCATCGCCTCGCAAGTATAGCATCCACCTACTAATTTCGCTAAACAATTGTACGACAATTAATAAAGTAGTTGTGACGTTTAAGCAGCCTACTGGATCATCCAAAAGTTTCGCTGGAGGAAAGTAAAAAAGGCATAGTGTCGACAAGGTCAGTTGAGCGAGTGTGATCAGGGTATGGGGGACTGGATGGAATTTGGCTACGGAACCGGAGGTGTGAATGGGTGCGAATTCGGTGGATGATGGGGAAGGTTCACTGGCGAATTTCACCTTATTGCGCTGCGACATTTTGGGAAACGAAAGACATCCATCTACAGTATTTGCAAAATGCGTGCATATTATACGGTTCACATGACGTGTTATCGCTCCATTGGTCAATGATGGACGAAACCAAATGCGTTAGAAAAAGCCCTTAAGACTTAATGAAAATAATAAAATTTCTTTCAATATTAAAAAATAATATTTAAATGAATAAATATAAATATATTTTTTAATCACAATATATATATATATATTTTTAAAAAAAAAATTGCTACTTACGTTTTTTTTTTTTTTAGACCCTAGGTCAGATTAGGTATATGTGCTTTATTAAATGGTTGTATACTGTACATTTTAAATGATTCACTAAAGCTAAGACTTTACCTAACTCAATCATCACTGTTTTGTCTTAATATACCAAAACTCTAAGTGCAACTTTGGGAGTGATTTATCATTCTGTTAATGGTTCAGGTGAATATCCTTTCAACCCTTAACATCATTGCCCGTAGATTACTACTGCAGATCACTATCCATTGTTCTGATCAAGCTTAAAACCCAACCACTTCATTCCATAAGTAATACTTTTGAGTAGAATTTCTTTCAGGCTTTTATTTTCTTGAGTTCCTTTCTCTAGTAAAGAATCTTTACTTTTGAGGACTAATGATTTTAAGCTATATGTGTCTAAGGGTTGGTTGATTTTATCTATTTTGCAAATCTCCTGTAAATATTCCCATTTGATTATCTTTTTACATATTTTGTTCTAAATTTTTTTCCTTATTTGGTTGCATACTCTTCTTTGTATCTTTGACATTCATCTTCTTGTCTTATTACCAATTCTTTTTTCATGACATTTCAGATCTATCATTTTTTAGATTAGGTCTCTCCTTACTAGTCCTATGCAAAAGCTTAGAGTATCCTAACTGGTTTTTGAAGTCTGTTCTACCAGTTTAGAGATCCATTTATCCAACTCAGCCATTTCTTCTTCATCATGGATAATTAACTTTGCATATTTTTCTTTTGCCTCTTTTTTCCTTTCTTGTAAGAACCCTCTAAAGTCTCTATAGATCCCATCTTGTCCTTTATTCCATATTTCCTGTAATTGTTTTTTGTACACTGGATACTCTAGTAAATGTTTGAAAGTTTCACTTTGCTGGCTGCATGCAATACATTTCACTTGTTTATAAAGGTTGGACCTTCTAATTGCCAGCTTGTTTAGAGTTGGTAGCTCATTATTCATTAGTTTTATGAGAAAGCTTTTTCTCTGCGATTGTTTAAAGGAAGTGTTCCAAGTGTATCCTTCTTTCATTCTTTTCCATACAAGATCTCAAGTATACTATAATCTTGCTATTCTATAATTTGATGGCTCTATCTTTTTTCCATTCTGTTTTGTTGTGTTCACTGGAAAGCAGTTATTTTATTGTTTACTTTTTTGACAAACTGTCTTATTAGTTTGTCCAACATCTTTTCTTGCTATCTAATTTCTATAATAATCTTGTATAAGGTCAGCTCTTTCCATTCTATTGCTGGAAGTTTCAGAGCTTCTTTGACTAGGACATCTGCTTTTTCATTATGGAAATCATTGAAATATACCTTAACTTTGATAGGTTGCAGTTTTATGGTCTTTTTCTTTACCAATTCTAACATTCGTACTCACAGGAATCAGTTTTTTTCCTTTAACCATTTTTTGTGAGTTTGCTTTGGATCATCTCTTTCTATTGTTTTTCACTTGAAAATACAGACCTGACTATATATATGGATTTCTACGTTGCTATCCATTGGAATCATCAGAAGTATTGTAACAATTGCTACAAGATCTACATATATTGAGAAGGGCCAATTGTTTACTCCTGTCTGAAATCTACTTTCTCTATCCATATCTTCTATCTGAATCCATACTACTCCCATTTTCATTTCTTTCTTTTCATGATTAATGAGTGATCCATCAAAATAGAAGATTAGTTTTTTAACATTAAATCCTAGATTGCATTGAAGTATTTCTATTAGGTGGTCCTGATATACTCCTTCTATAACATTGTCTCTAATAATGACCTCTTCCTATCTTTCAATATCTACTCAATTTACTATATTGATTGGAGCTAAGGTTTGAGGATTTGGATTCATGTTAGTAACCTTTTCCATTGTCCCTTCTAGTGATACCTTGAAACAGGGGATTGTTAGTTCTTGAGCTTTTCTGGTTGACTTTCTTATATTAAGATATAAAACTTCATATATATCTTTCATATCTCTCTCTAATATACATCCTCATTCTTGTTTTATACCCTCTGGGCATCTTGGACACCTTGTTAATATCATCATTTGAGTATTATTATTACTACTGCAGTTGAAGCGTTCGACGTTAACTTTGTGTTGTACTTTTGTCTATTATAGTTTTTCCCAGATTATAAGATGCCCAGCTTTCTTTATAATTATCCATAGTTTTTGTCATTTATCATGGTCTGGATTAATTGCAACATATTCTGATTCCCACTTTGTCCAATTTTTTTTTCAAGTACTCATGAGTTGGCCTACTCTATTACTTGAAAGAGTTTTGATTAAAGCTTGAAACCATTCAGGAATAAAATCTTTACTAGTGTTCTGAAATAGTTGAAACATTTGTCAATCCCTAATTTCTTTAGTAGCTTGATCGATTAACTGGTCTATGTACAGTAGTTTATTGTTTCTTAATGATAGTATGGCTTTTCTATATTCTTCTAATATAAGGTGTTCCTTAATTAAACTATTTTTCTTGCTTCATTCGATGATTTCTTGCCATTTCCAACTATAAAAGGTAATTTCTATGTCTTTAGCCAACTTTATTACTTGGAGCATAAAGTTTTCTTTATCTGATAAATGGTTCAGGAAATTGTATGTTAATAGATTAAGTGGTTTCCAATTCTTTATCTGTACTTGTTTGAGTCAAATAATTGTTGTGATTCCTGCGGGACTAGGATCATTTAGTCTATTACATAATCCTATTATTTGACTTTCTCGCTGAAGCATCCAGATGCTTTTCAGGTTGTGAATCTTTGGGTGATATATTATACTATTAGATATAGATCTATATAGGATACTCTTGTTTTTGAAGAACTTTCTATATTCTGCTATTAGAGTATTACATATTTTCTAGCATAGTATATTATGCTGTATTCTGAATTCTATCCTTGGAATTAATATCCTGTTTAAAATATACAGGGTTTGTTTATCTGTTAATTTTTTGCTTTTAAGATCTCTAATCACTACGTTAATCTCTTTTAGCATCTTCTCTTTAAGTTCAACTGCAGTTTTTTAATTGCCGGTCCAGATTCCTAGAAATCTTGTATATTCTATCCTACTGAACTCCTTTATCACTTCTTTTTCTATATTAGTCTGAACTTGATAGCAATTAGAATTGTTGATAGTAATTAGGACTGATTTATTACTATTGATTTGAAAATAGTTGACTTTATAGAAGACTTTTGCAATTTCAAGAATTTCTTCCATATCCTTTTTGAATCTTGCTATCCATATCATATCATCTATAAAGACTATAGTCGCATGTTTTGATTTTAGTCTTCTTGTGATCTGTCCTTTGAGATTTGGGTTCCAGGTGACTGACATTTTGTATTCCCTTTCTTTGTCATTCTGAATCTTGTAGAATAAAGGATCATAGAATATTTGTCATAGCAGTGGTGAGATGGTTTTCCCTAGATCGATGCTATCCCTTACTTTTATGGGTTCCATGGATCATTTTCAAAGATGACTTGAAATTATCTGTCTTGAAATAGGCTCAGCATGATCTTGATAAAACCTTTTGATATTCTGTTCCTTTCCATTACTTTGATTAGCATATATATACTAATTGTGACATAGGCTTTAGTGGTATCTTAAAAAAGTATCCACAATTTCTTTTTATTTTCTCTTGCATTTTCACAGATGTTGTTGAGGATTTGGATTAGTTCTGATATACTTTTTTCAATGAAACTCATGAAGTTAGGACCTTTAAGGATGTTATTAACTTTACAGATATTTCATATTCTATTAGTAAGAATTTTTGTGAAACACTTCCTTGTGACTTCCAACAGAACTATTAGTCTTGTGTTTATTAACTCACACTCCCATGGTTTTGGTTTGACTATGGAGTATATATGGCTCTGTTTCCAACAAGTAGAGATTACCTCCTATCACAAGAAGTTATTTAATATTCTTCTCAGGGTTTTCTTTTTCTCCTGACTCAGTTTCTTAAGCATTTCATAACTAATTTGTGACTATCCTGATGCCTTGTTGTTTGGAATTGTTTGAAGTATTTTATCTAATTCCTCTTATAAGATTGGCTCAAAGAGATCTTTATACCATAGTTTCTTGATATAATCCTTAGGTTTATACTTCTCTTTCCAGTCTTCTGTGAGGCTATTGAAGTTGACATCTCTTTTTTTAAATACTTCTAAATGGTATCATCTTAGTTCTTTCTCTATTTCACCTGTTTTGGTTGTTATGTATTCTATACTATCCTGTGTGACCTTAACTCTGTCCAGTACAATTTTGCTTCTTGTTTTGTTTGTTAGGAAGCTTACTATTCTTCTTTGATTAAATTTTAGGTTATCGTATCATTGTTTCAAAGCAGCCTTAATTGTGTCTCTTGTTTTTTTGGCTTCAATCTTTTGATTAATAAATTTCAATCTCTCTATTGCATCCTGGATATCCTTTTTCAATAATGACTAGGATATATTGGAGATGCTATATTGGATACAATGGTTTTCAATCTGATGGTTAGGACTATATGTTGTATTGTGTTTCTTTATTGCTAAGCTAAGGATCTGCAGTTTGACTATTTCTCTTAATACTTCAATCTTCTTGAAGAGCTCTTTCAGCCATAGAATTTTTTTGTATGTAATGAACTCTGAACTATATCTATATTCAGGTTTTTCTTTATATATAATTGGTTTCTTAGTTGCAAGCTTATTGAAGGCTATTTTGCAGATTTGTTCTTCAAAGGTTTTCCAGATCTTGTTTGCTTGTTTTTTTTTTCATTTTTATTGGGTTCTTCTTTAAGT